CTTGAGCCACAGGTGCCGAGCCTGTTTTACTTTTTCATATTGAAAAATCCACACCAAAGCATATCTTTTTTTAAGATAGGATCTTGCTGTGTTGTGCAGACTGGTCTCAAACTCCTGGGCTCAAGCAATCCTCCTGCCTCAGCCTCCAGAGTAGCTGGGACTACAGGTTTGAGCCACAGAGCCTGGCTCAATCCCAAGACTTTTGCCACCCTCTCTCCTCCAAGGCCCCTGTCACCACCTGTCTACCCATTCATCTTGCCAGTTCTCCTGTGATCTCTCAGTCCTCTCTATGTCCCTGCATTACCTCACACCTGGAATATTGCAACTATCTTCCAAACTCCTGTTTTGGTTCATCCTACATACTTTCTTATCTGCATTCAGGCTTTGACTTGTACACACAGGTGTGTGAGTCTTCCTCTCCATCTCCAGGGCCTGACTTTAAATATCATTTCCATGGGTAAAGGAAATGACCTGAATGAGCACTTAGAGAAATACCTTATCTCTATTCTGGACACAGCCTGGGGGTCCTCTGAGAATAATTTCTGAATGAATAAATTCCTTCATATGTCTATATTCAAGAGTCTTTCTCCATCTCTTCCCCTAACTTCTTCCAATTTTCCCACTCCCTTTTCTTTTCTTTTCTTTTTTGAGACAGAGTTTTACCCAGTTACAGCATAGCAGTGTCATAACTCACTGCAACCTCAAACTCCTAGGTTCAAGCAATCCTCCTGCCTCAGCCTCCTGCGTAGCTCCACATCATAATACCCCACTATTTTTTCTATTTTTAGTAGAGACAGGGTCTCACTCTTGGTCAGGCTGGTCTTAAATTCCTGACCTCTAGGGATCCTCCTGCCTTAGCCTCTCAGAGTGCTAAGGTTACAGTTGTGAGCCACCACATTTGACCCATTCGCCGTTCTTAATGTTCCTCCACATGGTCCTTCCACTTCAGCTAAGATGTTCAGTTTCCTGCCACCCACACTGGTCAACACAAAATCTCATCTCTGCATTCCTCTCCTCTTCCTCAAACCAGTCTCTAGACTCTTCTGCCTTCCTCCTTTCTAGCTACCCTGCCAGGCAGTGACTTTAGATGTCAGCTCCAAATCTACTTTTCTATGAAGCTTTCCCTTCCTCAATCTGACCTTGTTCCTTATTTCATTGAACAAATAGTTAAAGGGCATAATCTATATGTCAGGTCCCATATGGGTGCTGGAGATGCCGATGGATAACACAGAGCTCATTTTCTTTTTTTTTTTTTTTTTTTTTTTTTGAGACGGAGCCTCAAGCTATCCCCCTGGGTAGAGTGCCATGGCATCATGCTCACAGCAACCTCCAACTCCTGGGCTCAAGCGAGTCTCCTGCCTCAGCCTCCCAAGTAGCTGGGACTACAGGCGCCCGCCACAACGCCTGGCCATTTTTTGGTTGCAGCCATCATTGTTGTTTGGAGAGCCCAGGCTGGGGATTCGAACCCACCGCCTTAGGTGTATGTGGCTGCCGCCTTAGCCGCTTGAGCCACAGGCACTGAGCCAGAGCTCATGTTCTTAAGAGCTCTTAGTTCGGTCAATGACAGTCATTTGTAGGCCCTGTGATCTCTAAGATCTATGCAGGGAATGCTCTGGGCTCATGGCTAAGGTCACCTGAGAAGATACCAGGGGAAGCACCTGCATTTCCTGAAGGTGAACACTGGAGCTGAGATCTGTTATTCTCCAGGACACCACATCACAGGATGTTTTGGTTTGGTTTTTTTTGTTTGTTTGAGGGTTTGTTTGTTTGTTTGTTTGAGACAAGGTCTTGCTGTGTTGCCCAGGCTAGAGTGCAGTGGCAGTATCACAGCTCACAGCAACCTCGTACTTCTGGGCTCAAGAGATCCTCCTGTCTCAGCCTACTGAGTAGCTGGTACTACAGGTGCACACCACCTCACCTAGCTAATTTTTCTACTTTTAGAAGAGATGGGATCTCACTCTTGCTCAGACCAGTCTTGAAGTCCTGAGATCAAGGGATCCTCCTGCCTTGGCCTCCCAGAGGGCTAGGATTACAGGCATGAACCACCGTGCCTGGCTCACAATGCATTTGTGAATATTTTCCTCCAGATTGTTCTGAAATCATGTTTTGCTATATGATCTCTTGGTTCCTAGATGGTAAGCTCTTTGAGAGCAGCAAAATTCTGTTTGCTTTGTCACACTCTCCTATGTCATTCTTCCCTACTCTCCCCACCGCCTCTCATTTACATACACACATACACACACAGTGTACTTGGTATTGCCCATCAGTGAGTGAGAAGTTGAAAAGCTCCTGGACAGCCTTATCCAGACAGTGCATTCCCTGTGTTCGCCCCTTCTCCCAGCTCCAGGCCAGGTTTTGTCCCTTAGAACTCATTCTCAGGGGTGTCTGGCACATTTTTGGGGTGCAGGACACAACTACAAGAAGGACCCTACCTAACAAATTCAAAAATTGCAACCTGGTTATTTGTACCCTCACAATAATCTGAAATTAATAAATAGGTAAATAAATAAACAAATCAATCCATATATAGGGGGAAAAAAGAAGTTGAAGTCATGTCCTCACCTAGGCTGAAGCACCCAGTCCCCACGCTTGTTCCTTTGCCTGTTTGGGCTACCTTTACCCCCTATTTCCCAAACACAGGTAGCCACCCCATTTTTACTACTATAACTACCACTAACAACAATATAAAAGCTCAACATGTACTAAGTGCTCTCTATTTGCTATGCCCTATTCCCCTACAGGACTATAAAGTCTGTGAGCAGGGATCTTGCTCACTGCCGTAATCCCAGCACCTAACAGTGTCTAGCCCAGAATCAGCACTTAATAAACTGGATGAATACTTAACATGTATCAATCTATTTAATCTTCAGGACAATGTGATGAGCTTGTGGCTATGACGTCTATTTTAAAGATAAAGAAAGAAAGACACGGAAGGGTTGTATAACCTGCTCAAGTCAACGCAGCTATTACAGGAGGGAGCCAGGGCTTGAATCCAGGTGATCTGCTCCCAAAGCGAAAACAGAGGTCTCAGATGCCAGGGCAGCTGGGTGGTGGGAAGAAGAGGAGTGGGGCTGGGGAGCCAGGAGTTAAGAGAAGAGTGAGACCATAACATACAGACAGAGGGGCTGCCTGGGGACTGACAGAATGGATGTGTGGGACTGGAACACAGAAGGAGGCAAGAGGGGACGAGAGAGAAAGGGTTTCCAGGAGGCTCTGAGGAGTCTGAGACACCTGGGGCGACTGCTGAGAAGAAAGGAGCGGTGTGGAGAGGGCATAGCCATTGTGGCCAACTCAGGTGGGAGAACCTGACCCCACCCAACTAGATGGGCTTAGAGTGTCTGGACAGGGTGATTCCAGGACATGGAGGAAGATCAAGGAAACGCTGAAACAAGGCTGAAGCCAGAGAAAGGACATTTTCCAGTGACGAAAACAACTTTCTAACAACTTCCCCAAACAGAGCTGTAGAATAAGAAACTAAGGAATCCATGTTTAGGTTGTTGGGGTGGGAGTGCTAGGGGACTGGCGGAGGGACACTGACCAGGTGGAGGTGGTACTAGCTACCTAGCAAGTGTGAGACCCGGGAAGCTACCTGCCAAGCAGCAGGGCCAGAAGCAAAAGGGAGAAGAAGGCACCCAGGCAGACGGCCTGGGCCTCGTCAGGGTAGTGGGGACTCTTTCTACTCAGTCACCCTGTCCCCATCCACTCCCAAATACCTCCACCACACAGCATCCCAAGCCTACCCCACCAACTGGCTCCTCTCCTGGACTCAATTTACCTGCTTCACTAGCTGTCTAGCTCTCACCTCTCCATAAGCAGCCTCACCTCCCCACAGCCCAGTACACCCGCCAGCCAGCAAGCCAGGGGACAGATGGCTGAATTGGCCGGTTCCCAGAAGCCTCACCTTCCCTCTGCCACTGCTTTCTTTGACCCCCACCACCACCAATCTGCCCCGAGCATGGGGCCTGTCACTGTTTCCACATCCCAGACGCCCCCCACAACCTCTAGCAAACTTCCATGGCTGTCAGGGGTCAAGGCTTCCTTTTGCTTTCTCCCTTTCAAACTCCCCACCCCCACCCCCGCCCTGGCAAAGCCTCTTCTCTGAGAAGCAGATGAATGGGGAAACCCAAGCTGGCAGCGGCTAGTGTTAGGCCATACAGGCCTGAGGCTGGCGCCAAGGCCAGGCTAGGCAGGGGAGTCACAGCCCCCCGGGGGCCCACTCCACCAGGCGGCATCTTGCCCACCAGCCTGCTCTTTCTTTGTTTCTGTACTCACCAGTGGCAGCAGCAGGTCAGGCACAGTGGAGGGGCCCATGTCCCGCCAGCTGTGGCCTCTCACTCCCCCATCTGGGCTCAGGGTAGGGTCAGCAGTGGTGGTGGTGTCCTGGGAAGCCCAGGTCTGTCCAGGAGGTCCCAAGTGCCTTGGGTTGGGAAGTTGAGGGTTGAGATTTAGGGGTGGAGATCACAGCCCAGTCCCAGTGACCTTGAACCCCAAAGGCCAGAACTGGAGCCCGAGTTTGGAGTACTCTGAGAAAATTAAAGCAGAGAAGAGAAAAGAGGTGGGAGGGGAAGAGAGACTAGTAGAGGCGATGTTGCAACAGGAAGAACCAGAGGAGGAGGAGGGCAGAGGAGGCGGGCAGGAGGAGGGGGCCAAGGTATTTTAACTCTCTGTAGCCCAGTCAGAGGCACGGGAGTCCAGATCCAGCTGCCTGTGCCCCAAACCCACTAACCTGACCACATCCAGTCAAGCACCACATTGTAGCAAGTCCCCTGCCCGCTCCCCTATCATTGGCCTTGCCCACATAGAGCAGCAATAGAAAGATCCAGAGTTTTGGAGTCAAATTTACTGGGTTCCAGTTCAGAATGCTCCACTTTTCAGATAAGAGCTCTTGGACACGTAACCTAACCTTTCTGTTTTCCGATTTGTAAAATGGAGAATACCTGTCTGGGAACGAGGTACTTTAAGGATTTGTGAGATAGGACAGACAAGTCTCTGACACATGACAAGAACTCAGTATTTCTTAGTAACCCTCCCCTTTATACCAGAGTTCTCCACTGGTCCCCTAATCTTCTACTTTCTTGGGAATTTACTTGTCCAACTGAAGCCACAGAATAAGTCCTAAGCCTGTCTGCCCTGTCCACACCTCCCCTCACCTAGCTCTCATATAGTTTCTGCCTGGCTGGGTTCCCAGCTGTTAAGCCTGGCTCGTCTGCCAATTGTGGGACATCAGACAACCTCCCTCTTTTTTTTTTTTTTTTTTTTTTTTGAGACAGTCTGATTTTGTCACCCTCAGTACAGTGCTATGGCATCATAGCTCACAGCAACCTCAAACCCTTGGGCTTAAGTGATTCACTCGCCTTAGCCTCCCAAGTAGCTGGGACTACAGGTGCCTGCCACAGTGCCTGGCTATTTTTAGAGATGGGAATCTCGCTCTGTTGCAGGCTGGTCTCCAACTCGTGAGCTCAGGTAATCCACCCACCGTGGCGTCCCAGAGTGCTAAGATTACAGGCCAGGCGTGAGCTACCTCTCCCCACCTGGACTGGGAAAGTGATGCCATGAGGATCAATGAGACCACACCCATGAAAATGCTTTGGAAATAAAAATATCTTCATCAGATATCACTAGTATGTTCCCATTATCCTTGTCCCAAGTATTCTGAGGCATCAATCAGAAATGCCTTTAGAGATAGTCTACAAGCCCCTTGATTTTTTGTTTTTGACACAGAGTCCCACTGTGTCGCCCTGGTAGAGTGCCGTGGCATCACAGCTCACAGCAACCTCAAATTCTTAGACTTAAGCACTCTTGCTTCAGCCTCCCAAGTAGCTGGGACCATAGACGCCCACCACGATGCCCAGCTATTTTTTGGTTGTAGTTGTCATTGTTATTTGGTAGGCCCAGGCTAGGTTTGAACCCAGGCATCCTACCTGCTGAGCTACAGGCACCAAGCCAAGCCCCTTGTTTTATAGATAGGAGAAGGTCTGAGGAGATGTCTGAGGCCCATACATATACGTGTACAGGAGGCAGATCCGTCAGAGAACCCCAGACTCTCGTCTTCTAGTTCAAGGGGTCCTTGGGCTGTGAGGGATGCACTACCACTGTTTCTCTGTCCCTTTGGGTCAGACCTCACACCCTGGCTCTGGATGCGTTATGCCATCCCCATTCATGAGGGACATCTCCCCAGAGAATCCTACAAGAGCACAACATTCATTCATACCTTCTGGGTACAGTGACTTTCCCTACAGCCAGCCCAGCCTGGGGGCCTCCAGAAACTGAAGCTGCTAGAAAGGCAGGGAGATCGCAGGGAGATCGGAGGTGGAGGGCCTCAGGCTTTGTTACTTGGAATCAAAGCTCCTCACCCCTTCTGCCTTGGAGCTGGACTCCCAGCCCCAAGTCTACCCTCTCTGGCTCTTCCCAGCCTCCCCTCTGTACTCCTGAGGGCAGAGCACCTATAGATGAGAATGGAGGTCAGGTGCCCACCCCACCCACCTCTGCTCCATACCTGCCTTCCCAGCACTGAGCTTTTGGAACACTACAGGCCTAAAGCTAGACTCACAGAGGAAGGAACTCACTGCCAATACTGGGAGGCCCTAGCCTCGGCAGGAGTGGACCCAAAGCAGGGCTCTTGAAGAAGCAGGGTCTGGAGAATAAAGTGCCAATTTCCAACATGAAGGAGAGAGGACAGCCTCAGGCTCCTCATCTGAAGAAGGGGACATGTGCCAGTACCCCTCACAGAGCTGGTTTGATGACTAAATGCATATAATATGAACCAAGTGTTTGCCATACATGAAGCATTCAACAAATGGTAGCAATGTTAATTGTAGTGTATTAATAACAACTTCAACATCCTATTTCTAATGTTACAAGGAATTTCTTTTTTTTTTTTTTGAGACAAAGCCTCAAGCTGTCCCCCTGGGTAGAGTGCCATGGTATCACAGCAACCTCCAAATCCTGGGTTCAAGCGAGTCTCTTGCCTCTGCCTCCCAAGTAGCTGGGACCACAGGTGCCCGCCACAACGCCCGGCTGTTTTTTAGTTGCAGCCGTCATTGTTGTTTGGTGGGCCCAGGCTGGATTCGAACCCGCCACCTTAGGTGTATGTGGCTGGCGCTTTAGCTACTTGAGCCGCAGGCGCCAAGCCAAGAATTTCTAATAGTCTGTGCAAACAGGCCATTCACATAGCCTGGCACTAAAGGAGAATTTTTTTCAATATTTAAGATAATGTTTATTTACTCAATAAGTTGTAAGCTTTGAGACATGTAATTCTAAATTATTCAATAAAATTCATTTAAAAAAAAAAAAAAAGAAAACATGTTGAGAAGTGGGTGAATACACAAAGCTAACTAGTTTCCAGGAAGAGGTGAGAATGAGATCATCATCTCCCCAAGTGTAGAAAAACTCCTGGTGAGGAGCAGCGCCTGTGGCTCAAGGAGTAGGGCACTGGCCCCATATATCAGAGGTGGCACGTTCAAACCTGGCCCCAGCCAAAAACCGCAACAACAACAACAACAAAAAAAAAAAAAGAAAGAAAGAAAGAAA